AAAAAAGAGACAGAAAACAATAGAAATATATATTGTTCTTCCTTAGGAAAAAAAAAGATACATTAGGTTCATGATTCCAGGCTAATAGCTTAGTTAATGCTTCATAACGAGAAACAGTCAAAGGAAGCAGTGAGAGATTTTAGATCTTGAAAAATCTCTTTGAAAATCTATTTGCTACAAAGATGTTTATTGCAGAATGATTTGTAACTGACAAACGGAAAGCAATCTAGATGGCTAATGTCATGAGTAGCAACAGTAATAAAGATTTATTAAACATCAGCCAGGGGTCAGGCGGGTGTGCGTTTTCCAGGTGCTGACTCATCAGCCTGCACACTACAGCACCGATGTGGACAGTCTACACTCGCAGGCAGGAGGCAGTGGCAAAGCCTTGGGTAAATCGCCCACATTTTCTCAGCTGGGGAATGGCAGGATCCCTACTTAGTCAAGTGGATTTGGAGCCCAAATTTGTGATATTTGTGAAATATTTACAACCTTCAAGTGCAGCCTAAAACACTTTTGATGACACAACATGATTGTGATGTAACAAGACAGACTTCAGGACAAGTGCTGGGGCAGCAATATCCTCTCAATTTTGAAAAAGTCTGTGGCAAACGAACAGAAAACCAAAGCCAAAAACCAAAACCAAAAAACTAAAAAACAACCTAAAACAAAATGCTTGTTCTCTAGAAGAGAGGAACCGCGCCGGGACTGGGAACATATACCTGTAGAGCGAGCATTAGGCAGGCTGAGGGAGAGGCAAGCCTGGGCTCCATAGCATCCGACCAGCCAGGACTGCACAGCGAGACAAACAACTGGTAAAATTATGCCTAAAATGTAAACTGCAGTTGCGCATGTATGTGTGAATGGTGTGTGTGTGTGAGACAAGCGGTTAGAGCACAGCTTGTGTCTGTTCTCACCTCCTGACATATAGGTCCCTGGGATTGAACTCAGGCTGACAGGCAGATGCCTGCACTCATTGAGTCATATTGCCAGCTGGCCCAGTGATGTTTTCCTTTAATATATATTTGATTCTATGCTGACTAGCTTTATGCCAACTTGATATAAGCTAGAATCATCTGGGGAGGAATCTTTTAATTTTATTTATTTATTTATTTATTTATTTATTTATTTGAAACAGGGTTTCTCTATATAGTCCTGACTGACCTGGAACTCACTACATAGACCAGGCTGGCTTCAAACTCAATGAGATCTGCCTGCTCCTGCCTCCTGAGTGCTGGGATTTAAGGCGTGTATTACCAGTCCTGAGAAGAAGGTATTTTATTTATTTATTATTTTTTGTTTGTTTGTTTCTCGAGACTGGGTTTCTCTGTGCAGCCCTGGCTATCCTGGAATTCACTTGGTAGACCAGGCTGGCCTTGAACTCACAAAGATCCACCTGCCTCTGCCTCCCGAGTGCTGGGATTAAACCGTGCATTGCCGCTGCCACTACCACCCGGCTGAGAAGGAGGTATCTTAAGAGAGAAAACGCCTCCGTAGGATTGGCCTGTAAGCCATTTCCTTGATTGACGATTGCTGTAGAAAGCCCCAGCTCACTATGGACAGTGACATTCCTGGAGGTCTTGGGTAGCTTATTGCTTGTGCTGGCAGATGGATCAGGGTTACAGAGTGGAGCCCGACTGCTGAGCTGCACTTTCAGGCCCTGGAAGTCTCTTGTTCCTGTAAGAGACCTCACTCCATGAAACAGGTCCACGTCGCCTCCTCCTGCTCCTCTGGTCTGAGTCTTCCATGAATACCCTTCTTGCTCCGGAACTGTGTGTGGACTTGACCTCTGTGCCTCTGTTTCCGTTGAGCCATGGCCCCCCCCCCGCTGCCAGGACCTGACTCAAACACTTCCTCCTGAGGAAGCTCCATGAGTCTTAATTCTGGACTGGCTCTCGCTACCCAGAAAACATTCGTCCTTTCATAGCATGTACAGAACTTTTCCTTTATGAATAATGACTCTCGATGGGTCAGTTATCACATCCCAGACACACGATGGCTTTTGTTCCTCTCATTGACTTAGGGAAGTCTTCTCTCCACTTTTACAGGTGACACTCATGCTCACAGGGGCAGAACCCCTCAATACAAGGGGTCGATGTAAGATCTCAAAACTGGAGAATGACACTTAGGACCACAACACAGGCCAAATCCCATTGTCCAAGTTCTCTCCGTGACTCTGGTCACTGTCCTGCTTAGGGGGTGACCTTTTGTCTTGATGACTCAGGGTGACAGTGATGAACATGTGTGCTGTGTGGAACGGGGTGGCCCCTTCAGAGGCTGGGCCACGGAGCTCTGCTGTCTCCTAATGAGCAGCCGCATGCCTCTCTCCTGCTTTTGACTGTGCCAGGCTCATTAAATTTTCTGATACGCCATTTCTGAGTCAGAGCACTAGAGGTTGGACTCTGTTAACCACGGATGTTAATGAATTGTGTCTCAGCTGGCTCAGGAAGCCCAGAGGGCAGGCCTAGGGACTTCTCCTGTGTTCGGTGAGCCTGTGAATGCTTCTGGATATCTTGGCTATTGAGAGCCTCATTCTTGCCACGCTCTCTGTACACCTGACAGTGATTAACAAACAAGACAAGGCCTTTCTTTGAAGTCCCTTTCAAAGCCCTGAGGACTGATGGCTTAGCAGGTGTCATCACTAGCATGGCTGAGTGGAGAAAAAGAGAATTCGCTCAGCTCCTCTCACCTCCATTCTCTCTGCTCTAGACCTTATTCCTATCTTGCATGTTTTCACGTAGGGTAGCAAGCCCTGCCCGTTCTCAGAGCTATCTAGACTAACAGCTAGTGATGGTTGTCAATATCGCTTGTTTGATCGTTTATCCACAGCCTCACATAGCCCAAGCTGGTCTCACTATGTAGGCAATGAAGACCCTGAACTCCTGATTCTCCCTCTTTTACCTTCCAAGTTGGGATCTCAGGCGTGCTCAGCCTGCTTTCTTTCTTTCTTTCTCTCTCTTTCCTAGTTTTTTAATTTATATATTTTTATTTAAATTAGAAACAATCCCAGTTCCCTCTCCCTCCCATCCTCCTGCTTTCTTACAGCACCCAGAACAGCCTGCCTGGAGGGCACCACCCACAGTGGGCTGAGCCTTCCTACACCAAATGTCAATCAAGAAAATGTCCCACCACTTGCCCACAGGCCAAACTTGTTGGGGCATATTTTCAGTTGTGGTTCCCTGTTTCACAACGACTCCAGCTGGTGTCAAGTTGACAAAGAAACTATCTCACACAGGAAGATCACTTGAGCCCAGACGATTGAGACTAGCCTGAGCAACACAGCAAGACCCCTTTTCAAAATGTGCAAGTAGTTAAAGAGGTTGGGGCTGGAGTTCGGTTGACAGCGTATCTGCCTAGCATACACAAGGACCTGGCTTCCATGTCTACTACAGTATAAACTGGGCATGGTGGCTCATGGTTGGAAGTGATCAAAGGAGCAGCAACCCCAACTTCCAGGATGACTTGGTATTACTGCAGACACTTCCAACTGCAAGACATTGGCGTACACAAGTAACCATCAAGAGTTTCCTCCATTATAATTTCTGAGAACCTGTTGGACTATGAGACTTTTCTTTTTTCCCTGTACAGAGATGAGATGGCAAAAGACTGCTACCTCGCAAGTCTTTAACGTTTAAAAGAGATGAGAGCTCAGATAGGTTAGCACAGTCGGGGTTTCTGCAGAATTTGGACTGCTTTATCATTTCAACAAGGTGTCAATCTGGGTTAGTCATTTACTCAGCAAGAAGGGGATGGAATGATTGAGAAAGGCTCAGGATAGATAGATGATAGATAGATAGATGATAGATAGATAGACAGACAGATAGATAGATAGACAGACAGATAGATAGGAGAAAGAAGAGGAAGAAGAAGAGGAGAGGAGGAGGGAGATGGGAAGGAAGAGAGGGAAGGAAGAGGAAAGTTGCTTCTAACCTTACACGATGCAAGAAGCATTTGACTTCAAGTCAATATAGATGGAATGAAAAGAATAGAGCACTAATTATTCAAATAAAAACACACTATTGAGGGGGTTGTAAGATGACTCAGTGGGTAAAGACATATGCTGCCAAGCCTGCCAATCAGAGTTCAGTTCCTGGAATCCACATAGTGGAAAGAGAGACATAAATAAAATGCAATAACAAAATGAAAACCCCACTCTTTGCCTAGCACAGACTCAGATAGTCTCAAAATCAGACACACAGTGTACCCTTGTGCAAACACAATGTCTCTGAAGGTCTCTCTGCTTTCTACAGAACAGGGGCAGTCACAGACAGCACGGAAGGCTCAGGTTTCATCCTTTACCTAATGCTGAGACATAAAGAAGGGGTTACAAGTGTGGACAGTGACTAGGAGTCAGCAGTTGTGGCCGTATGAGGCATATGGCTCAACAGGACCAGTTCCTGCCCTGTGGCTGAGATGAGCACGTGATCAGGATGTAGACCTGTGGGAGGAGCAAATGGTATCGCTGGGCAGTTGTGTTCAGCTCTGCCTTCTGAAACACACTATGGTTTTTGTTGTTTTGTTATACAGATTAGGACCTTGGGTTTGGAGACTCTAAGCATAGCTGGCTTTGAACTCCAGCCCTACCCCCAACTCCCCTGCACTTTTTTTTTTGAGGTAGGGTTTCTCTGTGTAGCTTTGGAGCCTGTCCTGGAATTCTGTAGACCAGGTTCACCTTGAACTCATAGAGATCTGCCTGTCTCTGCCTCCCAAGTGCTGGGATTAAAGCAGCTGCCACTACTGCGTGAACTCCAGCCTCTTTATCCTTGAAGAGGAAATTCCCGTCACTGAATTCCTCTCTCTTCAGAAGAGGGTGGTTTATTCCCTAGCTGAAGAACCTTCCATACTCTCTTCTGTGTGCAGGGGCAGCACTGCTTGGCTCCATTCTGCTCTGCTAGAAAAAGCACCCAGACCCTCTGAGTGCCAAGACCTCTGTTTTTAAAGTAAGGACCAGAGGGCGCTCTGGAGAAAATAAAAGAGATGTTTGATTCAAAAGGATGTGGGAGGAGGTTCCCAATCGCATACTGCTCAGCCAATGAACGTTTGTCTATTCAGCACGAACTCTGTCGACAACTGGCCCCCACGTCACGAGTGTCATGCTTGGTCTCTGGGCCAGGTTCGGATCCTTGAATTTTCCAGAGGCTTGTCTAGCAAGCTCATTACAACAGCTCTTTCCAACCCTTGTCCCTAGAGATTCAAACTCGTAGGATGGGACAAATCTAAGAGCTCACAGGGGCAGCCAAGCTGACGTTGGAACTGTGCACATATGGGGAAGCCTTGTTCCTGTGCAACAGCTGGAAACACTTGACATCTGTGAACCGGGTCTTGAGGTCAGCAGGCTCCTAACCGTCCCTTCGCTTTCCTTTCCCCTCCTCCTTACTTCCCCTCCCCCCTCAGGGAAGCTTCCCACTCCCAGTACTCACTCCACTCTGCTGCACCTCTTTCTGCACCCAGGCCACTTGCTGGGCAGGCCTCACTTTCTTCTGAGCAGCAGACACCCCTAGTGTGAGCTAACAGTTATCACACTTCATTTAAATGACCTTGTCTCTTGCCGGAGTCCTCCCCTGAGCTCCTTCCTTACCACGTGACATTCTGAGTCAACAGCCTTGGCTGTGGCCCTGTCTTTCAGACAGACTTGTGCTTAAGGGAGAAAAGAATGGCCTTGTGACTTTTGGAGCTCCTGCCACCTTAAGCCACAACTGTGGGACCTGCCTTGTCCTTCCCTTCTTTTGCCATTGTCTCGGGGCAAAACCTCTGTATTGTACACTTGTCCTCCACTCCCTGTGGGAACAAGACTAAGCCTCATCCAGTCAAAAGCTCTATGGCAGGAGGAACCAGGATCTCTGAGTTACAGCTCAAGCTTCTATTTAGACCGCAGGACTGAGAGGATCCTTTGATACCCTGGAGCCATTCTCTCTCTCTCTCTCTCTCTCTCTCTCTCTCTCTCTCTCTCTCTCTCTCTCTCTCTCTCTCTCTCTCTCTCTCTCTCTCTCTCTCTCTCTCTCTCTCTCTCGCCCCCCCCTCTCTCTCCCCCACCTAAGCCAGCCTAGAACGCCCCATTCTCCTACCTCCACAACTGGCGTTACAGCTGGTTGTGTTTGTGTTGCAGAGAATGGTACCCAAAGCATTGCACATTCTAGGCAAGTACTCTGTCAACTGAGCTGCATCCCTAGACCACTGACACCTGTTTTAACCTGATTCCACTTTTTCATTTTTAAAGGAAAGAAGCAAAAAGCAATACAGAGAAGCGAAACAGTGTGAGTATGCTTGCTAGGAGTGTGGTGGGTTGGGGGTTGGGCTCCATGGTAACTTTGTCTGCAGAGCTGTACCCCCTAAAGTGACAAGCACACATTCCATCCATTGAACTGGCAGGCTCAGGCCACCAGCCCAGGGAGGGGGGCATTTTCCAGGGCAGCATTGCCTGAAAACAGTGTGCTTGTAAGGATGCTCTCTGAAAAATGCAGACAAGAGGGTTACAGTAGCTTGCCCTGTTCATCCTTTCTGTCAAGAAACCTGCAATTTACAAGGAAAAACTGAGACTCCAAATGCTTGAAAGCAGAATCTGTGACATTGGGTAATTAGGCGCTGGAAAGAGACCAGCTTTATTCGGTGTTTTAATTTTAACTTATCTATCTATCTATCTATCTATCTATCTATCTATCTATCTATCTATCAAGACAGGGTCTTGAAAGAGATCAGTTTTATTCTGTGTTTTAATTTTAGCTTATCTGTCTGTCTGTCTGTCTGTCTATCTGTCTGTCTATCTATCTATCTATCGAGACAGAGTCTTGTTAAGTAGCTTTTGCTGGCCTGGTCCTCATTACAATCCTCCTGTCTCAGCCTCCTGAGAGGAGTGTTGGGATTACAGGTGAGCACTGACACACAGGGCAAAAGATGATTCACAAAATCTCAGCAATTTACTGAGTTTTCATCACTATAAAAGACAGCTGCCTTCCTATGCTTTGACTCATAACATCTCCCAATGCCTGATATATGGCCACGATTAAGGCATTGCAAGTGGCAGCATACTACATTTCCAATACTTATTTGTGTTAGTTACTTTCCTGTTGCTGTGATAAGAGACCATACCAAGACAACATATGAAAGGAAGTGCTTAATTTGGGGCTTATGGTTCCAGAGGAGGAAAGTCCATGACCATTATGGACAGGGAGCATGGCAGCAGGAAGGTAGGCATGGCGCCAGAGCAGTAGCTGAGAGCCTACATCTTCATCCACAAGCATGAGCAGACAGAGCCAACTGGGAATGGCATAGGCTTTTGAAACCTCAAAGCCCTCTCTCAGTGACACACCTCCTCTAACAAGGCCACACCTCCAAATCCTTCCCAAACAGTTGCAGCAACTAGGTACTCAGTATTCAAATCTATAAGCCCATTCTCATTCAACCCTAAATCCCATCTTCATTCACAATGACAAAGACTAATCATTGTTCTAAATTCTCACATTATTTTATTCTATGTTTTAGCTTATTTTCAAAAGTCCAAATATCTATGCAAGTACACACACACATTATATGCCTCTTGCTGAAAAAAAGGAAAAGACACAGTGCAGTAAAAAGAACATAAAAAACACACACAGTTCACATGCACAGAGGAAGCAGGCGTGGCATATCTCTAACTACCACCAAAAATTCACACATGGGGCTCTTTTCATGCTTTGTCTCTAAAGATGTCTTTAAGTTAATTTATCATTGTATGTTTGTGGGCACACGTGCCCCAAGCATATCTAGAGGTCATAGGACAACTCTGTGTGCTCAGTTCTCTCCTTTATGTAGGTCCCACAGATTGAACTCAGGCTTCTTCAGAAGGCTTTCCTCACTGAGCCATCTCATCTACCTGCTGCCTTTATTTTTACGTAGGAGCTTTACAACATCTTTCAGTACACATAGACCCAGGAGCCCCAGCCTAGCAGTGCCAACCTGCAGGCTGTGGGGCTTCACTTCTCTGGGTTTCAGACCTAACATCTTTAAAATGAGTTTAAAGGAAAGTCTGGTCCTACCTACCTGAAATCATTTCTTTTTCAAAGAACTGAAGGAGATAAGGCACTCAACTCAAAGATTTACCAGGTGAACTTAATGAAGGTTTACTAGGGTTGAGGATATAGCTCAAGGGTAGAGTTGGACCGTACACATGCACAAAGGTTAAAACTAATATTATCCATCATAGGAGCCATCTAGTATTTCTAGCATATAGAAACATCAGTGCATTTAATAATCTTTGTTTTGGAGTCCAGTTTCCTCCTTTTCTGTGTAAACTACTGTGGTGAAGTTAGCTTCACACACACAATTATGCTGTTCTGCGGCATAATCTCTCAAAGGTGGGTAGCTAGGGTACAAGCAGGTGCATTTTAATGTAATTGATGGCTCTTCTCTATGAGAGTCTGTTTAAATTCTCCACTATGAATTTTCTTTTAATTTCTGTTACAATGTCACTAGCCAGTAATTTTCTTTGTGATTTCTTGAGTTGTTTCATGCTAAGATTAAATAAAATTCTGGTTCTTGCTCATTCCCCTTCAATAATTTAAAAAGTCACATTTTAGTTATTAACCCATTAGAACTATATGTGTTGGGCCGTTTGCAGTAAAGGTTAATAAGCATTGGCATGATCTTCCCACTGGCCTTTGTGTGGCTTTGCAAGCGTGTGTGTATGGGTGTATATTACTTATTGAAGTATGCTGTTTTCTACCCACAACCCCAGCCAGCAATATGTTTTGGAGCTGTTTTTAATAGAGCAGAGGTTGACTCCTAACTTCCCAGTTCCATATTACATTTGTGGAACAATTCTTGCAGAGTTTCATCAGTTCATTTCCAGGGTTTTCCTAACACAGTCTGTCACCGTGCCCTCTGCCTAACTTGCCCTGGTGAGTGCTCTAGTTTCTCAGGAGATGTGACTAGAGCTGTCAGCTCAGTGAGCAGAGCATGTCCTGCATTTTACTAGACACTGCCACAATGGCTTCTCAGCTGACTTACCACTTTCATTTATTTTTACAGTTAATTTTCACTGATTTAATAAAAACACAAATACTATATATATATCAGTAGGTAACACAATGTTTTAAAACAATGGGCGATGTTTAAACCTGATTAAACTTGTACCTCCCCTTAAACATTTCTTATTATTGATATTGTCATTAACTGTACTTTTTAGAGCCAAGGTCTCATGTAGCCCAAATTGGCTTCAAATTCACTATGTAGCTGAGAATGGCCTCCACCTCCCAAGTTCTGGGATTGTAAGTGTGTGCCACTATGTTTGGCCTATTTTTTCTTTTTGTTTTCAGAAACAGTATCTCTATACAGTTTTTGCTAGAATGGAGCTTGCTATGTAAACCAGCTGGCCTTGAACTTTCAGCCATTCTCCTGCCTCTATTCTTTCTTTGTGGTAAAATTTCAAAAAATCTTTTTGTCCCACATGAACTGCTCCAAACCTTACTGTTCCCTGTAAGTATCATCATCTGGACTGAGGTATCATCCAGATCTTCTTCTCTGTCTAATTTTCCATTCACAGCAGCTATGTATATGAAGGCATTTTGTTTATTTAAATTCCCAGAGTGGAGGGCTTGAGAGATGACTCAGAGGTTAAGAACGATGGCTGCCCTCGCAGGGGACCCAGGTTCAGTTCCCAGTACCAACATGGCAGCTCACAACCGGCTGTTACTCCAGATCCAGGAGATCCAGTGCCCTCTTCTGGCCTCTGTGGGTACTGCCTGCACATTGTACATAGACATTTATGCAAGCAAAACATCCAAACAGAACATAAAACACACCCTAAATATATAAAAATTCCCAAGAGTGTTTCCAGGCATCTCTAATCTAGATTGCTTCTTTGTCAGTTTAACTGTTGGGTGGAATTTAGGAAATTTAGGAAATCCACCAGACTGGGCTGGACCAGTATGGTGTGATGGCTTCAAGTTTTTAAGTTTTATCAGAGAAACATTTTCTTTAGTCTGTTTTAAAAATCCTGAGCGGAACCTGAGAGAGATATGCATGGTACCCCAGAGAGGAGGAATGAGACAAGATTTCCTGAGCAGATTGGGAGCAGGGGGGAGGGGAGTGGGAGCTGGGAAAAACAGAGGGGGAGAAGAGGAGGAGAGAGGAGGTCATGGGGAAGCAAGAAGGTTAAGTTGGGGGAAGAAAAGGGGAGAACAGGATGAGAGGTAGCATAATAGAGGGAGTCATTATAGGTTTGAGGAGAGATCTGGCACCAGTGAGATCTCTAGTGATCTACAAAGATGACACCAATTGACAATCTACAAGTATGATACCAATTGGCAAACTAAGCAATAGTGCAGAGACTACCTTAAATGCCCATCCCTGATAAGGAGTTTGCCGACTACGTTATATGCCATCCTAGAACCTTCATCCAGTGACTGATGGAAGCAGAGGCAAACACCCACAGCTAAACACTGAACTGAACCCATGGAACCCAGTGACAGAGAGAGAGGAGCGATGAGCAAATTGGCAAAGAATGGGCTGACAAACCAGCAGAGACAGCTGATCTGAACAGGGGAGAGCTCTTGGACCCCAGACCAACAGCTGGGAGGCCAGCATGGGAATAATTCAGACCCCTGAATGTGGTAGTCAGTGAAGAGGCCTGGACAACCTATGGGGTCCTGGGCAGTTGATCAATACTTATCCCTGGCATACAAATGTCCATAACACAAAGAGGGATGCTCTCTCAGCCTGGACTCTTAAGGGAGTGCCTGGACCCTGCCCTGAGTGAAATGACAGACTCTAGATATCCCCTATGTGGAAGGAAATGGGGATAGTGTGGGGGCTGGGGGGGATGGTGGAGAGGGTGCGGGAGGAGGGGAGGGAGAGGGAACTGACATGTGAAGTGAGCTTTTTTCTAAAAAAAAAAAGTACTAAAAATAATGAAAAAATACAGTTAAAAATTTAGAATAAAAATAAATAACTGATATTTTTGAAACACTAACACAAAAATCCTGAGTGGGCTGTTTGATGGAAAACTGTTGTATCCCATGTCTTTTAAAGGTGCTAGCTGTTGGAGGGAACATTTTGGACTCTGCTTTAAAACACAGTTATTATAACCCACAGACTCAATATTCACAATAACTGGGCCTCAAAAACCAGGCAGACTAACCTCCCATAAGCCCAGATATTTCATTCCTGAGTAGGAAGTCCACATGTGAAAGAGATGCATGGATACCTGCTTTACTCCAGCACTGTTCACAAGACGTGAAATCACATGAGAAGGCGGAGAATATGATGTGTGTTTAGATGT